AGTACTAGCGATCGACAAGTTCTTTGCCGATCGCTTAGCAGCGGGCCATGTGAGGGAATCAACATCCCCTCGCAGCTCTCCGGCCTTCTGTGTGCAAAAGGCCACAGGAAGGTGGCGGATAGTGCACGCATTCAACAAGTTGAATGCTGCAACGGTACCGGCTCAGACGCTGATACCAAGAAAGGACGTAATCATAGATGGTATGTCAAAGAGTACCATCTTCTCGTCCATGGATCTGATGGATGGGTTCTATCAGGTCCTCATGCGTGAACGGGATGTTCCGTACACAGCAGTGAGAACCCTCAGCGGGATGCTGTGGGAGTGCTAGTTATGCCACAGGGGCTGAGCAATGCCCCTGCTACATTCAACAGATGTGTCACAAATCTATTGCGACCGGTGCGAGACACCGCACCGAGTTACTTCGACGATGTATTCGTCCATAGTCGGGGTATGGACGAAAAGACGGACGTTGAAGTTTACAGAACTCACGTCCGTCAGGTTCTTCAACTCATGCGCAAGCATAAGTTGTACGCCAACCTTAAGAAGTGTATATTCGCGGCTAGCGAAATACCACTTCTTGGGTGCATCGTGGGTAAACACGGCGTACGCCCTGATCCCGAAAAGATCAAGGCGATCACCGACTGGCCAGTGCCAGTCGATGTCAAGGGACTAAGGAAGTTCTTTCGGCTAGCGGCGTACTTGCACAAGTACTCGCGCAACTACGCCGAGATGACGGTACATCTTTCTTGCTTGCTCAAGAAAGATGTCAAGTGGTCATGGAACGCTGAGTGTCAGCGTTCCTTTGAAGCATCAAGAAAAGCTTGATGCAGTCGCCGATCTTGGCGATTGCAGATCAGGACAGACCATTTCATGTGGTCTGTGACGCCAGCGATTTTGCTATCGGCTGAGCGTTGATGCAGTATGACACAGACGGCGCAGAGCGCGTCGTCTGCTATTAATAGCGTCAGCTGCAACCAGCTGAACGCAATTATCCAGTGCATGACAAGGAACTACTTGCCATGAAGTATGCACTGGCTAAGTTCCGGGTCTATCTCTTGGGAGATAGATGATTCATCGTCTATACGGACCATGCGTCACTACTCACGGCCGTAAACAGCCCACACCTCTCGCAAAGGATGGCGAGGTGGATGTCTTTCTTCGCGGAGTATAACTTCTCCGTGGAGTACAAGCCAGGACGACTTAATGTCGTCGCTGATGCGTTATCACGTCGGCCCGACTTCGAGCCAACGACCCGAGTCAACAGTGAGGTCTTGCTCACTGTTGCGGCACTGTCCATCAGTGTGCCGTCGTCGCCGTTACTCGACGACGTGCGGAAGGCATACGCAGAAGACACGAATCTCCTCCGTTTGATGGGTCATCTTGCAAACCCATCCCGGAAATCCTTGTCGGATTTGTCGGCCCTGTACCGTTCCTCTTTGGATCGGTACACTACTCGCAATGGCCTGCTGTACTATACAGCAGTTGCCGACGACACGCCTCGTGTCGTCGTTCCCGATCATGATGAATTGCAAGTACGAATCATGTTCGAATGTCACGATGCGCCGTCTGGCGGGCATCGTGGCCGAGAAAAGACTTACCTCACGGTTAGTCGAGACTTTTACTGTCCCCGTCAGTATCAGTTTGTCCGCAAGTACATTCGTTCTTGCGAGGTCTGTCAACGGGTGAAGTCTAGTCCTTCATTCCGTGCACCGTTACAACCTCTGCCGGCCCCGGCAGAGTGTTGGGAGTCCGTCTCCATGGACTTTGTCTTCGGGTTCCCCGAAGACACTAACAAGAATAATGGTATTCTTGTATTTGTGGATCGTTTCAGCAAGATGGTACATCTTGCTGCAGTTTCAGAATCGATCAACGCACACGGTTGTGCGCGTGTCTTCATCGACACTGTGTTTCGACTCCACGGTTTATTCCGTGAGCTCGTATCCGACCGTTACCCTCGGTTCACGGCGGCGTTTTGGCAATCCGTGTTCCGCACATTGGGAACACGGTTGAAGATGTCAACCTCCGACCATCCTGAAACAGATGGCCAGACAGAACGTGCGAACCATGTCCTCGAAGAAATTCTTCGTGGATACGCCACTCCTTTTCACATTGAAGTGAGCTCTTACTGATGGTTGAGTTTGCCATCAACAACTCCGTGCATGCGTCCACAACGCATACGCCTTTCTACGTGAATGGCTTACGCCACCCACGTATTCCCGCCCTCATACAAAGTGACTATGAGTCAAGGGGGGACTCGCTCGAGCAAAAATCGTTTTGGCTCTTGCTCATCACGTATCACCGCTCACGCCGATACGTTTGATGCCGATGTCGACAACGTCGACATCGAGGAAATCGAGCTTACCAGTAGCGATGACGCTGCTGCTACATCAGACAATGATGACGATGCTGGTATATTCAGCATCGTCAACGACAATGCCAGCGAGGAAGAGGACACCCTCGTTGAAGAAGAGAACGATCTCTTAGCAGTGCGCACGAAATGCACTGAAAAACACAACAACGAGTCAGCAGAGAACTTCCTGCTGACTTGAGAGGCGGTAGTCCGTTTCGTTCAGGACTCCATCGCAAATGCGGTGGACCGCCAGAAACGGAACGCAGACAAGAATGGAAGAGCAAATGTTCTTTCATTTAAAGTTAACGACCTAGTACTACTGTCTACAATAAACTTACCTGTACATGTAGTCATTAATGTCGTCAGTACTAAACTACTGCCGAAATACATTGGTCCCTTTCGTGTGTTGCACCGCAAGGGCAATGCATACACGATCGAATTGCCTCGTAGGATGCGCACGCATCCTACGTTTTATGTTGGTCGTCTCCACCCGTACCATCAGTACGAGGCCTCTTGCGAGAACGGAGATAACTAGCGCGCTCAAGAATCCCCAACAGATTCTTGTGATCACGGACCAAACACTGAAGTTTGTCCTTCGTCGAAAGGATTTTGATCCTTCATCGACGCGGCCTCGCGACGAGCCGTCTCTAGCTCTTCGCGCAAACGACGTCTCTCGCGTTCACTCTCAAGCTGAGCGAACGCGAATTCCGATCGGTCCTTCTCCCGATCGGCACGAAGACGTCGCATGTCCGAATGCAAGGCGTGCCGACGATCGTATTCGTGATCGACGTCCTCCCTCAGCTCGGTCAGGTAACGCTCGTGGTTACCCAAAGTCTCGTGCAGGCCCGGCGGCTGAGCCGGACCTTGTCTTTCCACCGCCACTGGAACCACTGGTGGATTCCCACGGTGTTTAACGCTTTCTTGTGGAGCGTATCTTGAACCACCGTGGCGATTCAGAATCAAGGACGAGTTACCTTGTCCGGTGGCGTGGGTACCCACCTTCCTTTGACAGATGGGAACCTCGTTCTCAGCTGATGGCTGACGTTGAAGGTCTCGTCCACCAGTATGACGAGAATCGTCCGATAGGTCCTCGGGCCCATCGGTAAACACGAACTTTTGGCGCTTGTAGACGGATTGCAAGTTTGCACTCGCGTCCCGCATCTCAGCCGAGATGTGTGCCCTTCCCCAGGGCGAACTTAGGGAAAACACGTCCTTATGTGCACGCTGCGAGTTGTCGACACAGCTCGCACAAGGATCACCCCAAGTGAGGCATGGAATGCCGGCCTCACTTGACAAACAATGCAACCGGTACCCTGCACCGGTTGGCGTTCGATTTTCGAACTTGAGGCGTATCGCCTCAAGCTTCTTAAGCCACCCTTCTCGTCCAAAATTCTTGACATTTTGGACGAAGGCGTTTCACGCTGCCAAAAGCGAGTTCTTGTCACGCTTTTGGTTGCCATTATACCATCGATGCCTAAGGAAGGCATCGAGATAGAAGTCTTCTTCAGCACGGAAGTTACTCGCGCTGGAACTTAAGCCATGAAGCTCAGTTGCATCGAATAAAGGAATTCGATGGTGCTGGATTGTCTCGTGAGACAGGCTATCGATGAGATGGTCGGTCAAGCGCCTTGGCTTGAGCTCACCACGCTTCAATGTGGTACCTGTTTCGGTACCACGGCTTACAGAATGACGACGGCTCTCGCCATCGTCATCACGCTCTTGCGGGGAAGCGCGAGTTGTTTCTGGTGAGGCATAGTATTCCTCACCATAGAGTTCATCATCACTGCCGAACAGACTGTGATGCGTTTCACGAGTCCGCTCGTTCGACAGTGCTCTTGACGAACGATGAGACACCGCCGGTGATCGGGATGCCTCTGGAACGTTGTGCGAGTCAGGCACGTCTGACTCGCCATAATTGATGACCTCATTGCCAAGGTCATCATGTGCACGTGGTGCGATACCGCGTGCGTCTGCAGAACCTTCTGCTGTAGACGGAGAACGAGCAGCAGACGACGAAGGTCTGCCGCAGAGGCTGGTATAGCAGCAGGCTGTGTGGTCTTCGAATTACCTCGCATAGACATGTTAACTATGCGAGGCAAGGTCAGGAGTGAATGAGTCTGACCAAACAAGTGCTCCCTGTCCCACTGGTGTCCAACAGGTGGCCACCAAGTTTTCGATAGTCACACGGTGACTATCACATAAGGTAGGGGTGATGTAACGGGGTAGCCCGTTACATGAGATTGTCATTAAAACAATATGAGAATAAAGAATATTACGTCGAATATTCTTTTAACAATATCCTAAGACATGGTGATATTGTTGGGATGACCGAAGGGTCTACTCATTGGTTGATATCGTGATGATATCAACCCACCAATCGCTGCTAGACGCGCGCAATGGGTGGTGAGTATACGTCATCATACACATAGTTATATTAGTATAATTAGGTCAGGACAACAGAGATTCAAGGAGTAATAGGACTTAATTATATTAATACAGTTTTGCGTTTACCAAGAGACTAGTCTGACTACTCAGTCTTCTTTACTTCCTCTATGTTTCCTTTATTCACCTAGCAGGGCACTGTCGACCACTGTCGTCAGGGGAAGTATACTCCGTACTGATCAACCAGTACATAGTCAACAGTGCCCCGTTACACACCCAGTCGCGGTGCATGGATGGCTTCTTTTACCTCTGGCTGGTTGAGGTACGCGCGATTAAGTGAGTCTGCAGAAGGTCCGATATCGCCGCGGTGCGTTGATGACATCTGCATGACAGACGTGGTCTGCTTACGTAACGCCCTTGCCTGCGTGTAATCCAGCAGGAACTTGTCGCCGCAGATGAAGTACGGGTTCAGTGCCTCCTCATCGTCTTCCGCTTGAGCCCGTTGTGGGAGCTCTCCACACTTAATCGGACAGGTCAAACCATCATAGAGACAGCCGATCGATTCCCCACAGTGCACTTTGATCTTCTCGTAAGCTTCAAGCGACATGAGCGCGTGCGAGTAGTAGTAGCCGACGTAGGCGTTGCCGTCGATCAGATTGTCCGTGAACGGGTTTCCGATCGCAAAGCCCTTGAGGTTCACGCCTTGCAGCGGTTGCTCTACCAACAGATCCACGAGGTAGGGAATGTACATGCCAGCGTAGCTCTAGCCCGTGATGTAGAAGTCGGGGTTCTGGAGCTCACTGAATTTGCTGAAGAAGAGGCTGAGGTACTCACGCGTCTTGGCAGCAACTTTGGTCCTGTACCTCACCGCTAAAGCCCACGCCAGCAAGAGCCTCGAGACACAGCATGTTCACCTTCCGATTCCACGCGTACCGGTTCAGCTGAATGGACAGATCGCACTGAACGACAAAAGGTCCGTTATCCGTGAAGAAACCGCCAAGCGATGAGCATCCTGGACCGCTATTGAGCCACAGCACAATGGGGGCGTCTGCAGGCTCGTGCTGAATTTTGGCGTACCGGTAAAAGATCTTCTCGCTGCTTAACAGCTCAAAATGACCGCTGAAGTGCTTGAACGACAGCGCTGGGAGGTTCAAACCAGGCAGACGCGTCACGATTGCATCTTCATTGCGGGCACTTGTCAGTAGTACGAGTACTGCGAAGCTCGTGAAGATCAGGAAGAGAAGTGTCATCGTGGAAGATCGATGCGCAGGCGATGAAAAGCTTCAAAGTGACATGGAAAGGAGGAAATGCATGGCATTGAAAGAGGACTTATAGTGGTCAATGCAGAGACAGCGAACAAGGCTACGCACAGACTTTGCTTTTGTTCGACACAAGGATCACGGACAGCTGCCGAGGCGCTTTATTTTAGCAATCCAGCTAATCGTAGTCGTCTTTGTAACGGGGCACTGTTGACTATGTACTGGTTGATCAGTACGGAGTATACTTCCCCTGACGACAGTGGTCGACAGTGCCCTGCTAGGTGAATAAAGGAAACATAGAGGAAGTAAAGAAGACTGAGTAGTCAGACTAGTCTCTTGGTAAACGCAAAACTGTATTAATATAATTAAGTCCTATCACTCCTTGAATCTCTGTTGTCCTGACCTAATTATACTAATATAACTATGTGTATGATGACGTATACTCACCACCCATTGCGCGCGTCTAGCAGCGATTGGTGGGTCGATATCATCACGATATCAACCAATGAGTAGACCCTTCGGTCATCCCAACAATATCACCATGTCTGTGATATTGTTAAAAGAATATTCGACGTAATATTCTTTATTCTCATATTGTTTTAATGACAATCTCATGTAACGGGCTACCCCGTTACATCACCCCTACCTTATGTGATAGTCACCGTGTGACTATCGAAAACTTGGTGGCCACCTGTTGGACACCAGTGGGACAGGGAGCACTTGTTTGGTCAGACTCATTCACTCCTGACCTTGCCTCGCATAGTTAACATGTCTATGCGAGGTAATTCGAAGACCACACAGCCTGCTGCTATACCAGCCTCTGCGGCAGACCTTCGTCGTCTGCTGCTCGTTCTCCGTCTACAGCAGAAGGTTCTGCAGACGCACGCGGTATCGCACCACGTGCACATGATGACCTTGGCAATGAGGTCATCAATTATGGCGAGTCAGACGTGCCTGACTCGCACAACGTTCCAGAGGCATCCCGATCACCGGCGGTGTCTCATCGTTCGTCAAGAGCACTGTCGAACGAGCGGACTCGTGAAACGCATCACAGTCTGTTCGGCAGTGATGATGAACTCTATGGTGAGGAATACTATGCCTCACCAGAAACAACTCGCGCTTCCCCGCAAGAGCGTGATGACGATGGCGAGAGCCGTCGTCATTCTGTAAGCCGTGGTACCGAAACAGGTACCACATTGAAGCGTGGTGAGCTCAAGCCAAGGCGCTTGACCGACCATCTCATCGATAGCCTGTCTCACGAGACAATCCAGCACCATCGAATTCCTTTATTCGATGCAACTGAGCTTCATGGCTTAAGTTCCAGCGCGAGTAACTTCCGTGCTGAAGAAGACTTCTATCTCGATGCCTTCCTTAGGCATCGATGGTATAATGGCAACCAAAAGCGTGACAAGAACTCGCTTTTGGCAGCGTGAAACGCCTTCGTCCAAAATGTCAAGAATTTTGGACGAGAAGGGTGGCTTAAGAAGCTTGAGGCGATACGCCTCAAGTTCGAAAATCGAACGCCAACCGGTGCAGGGTACCGGTTGCATTGTTTGTCAAGTGAGGCCGGCATTCCATGCCTCACTTGGGGTGATCCTTGTGCGAGCTGTGTCGACAACTCGCAGCGTGCACATAAGGACGTGTTTTCCCTAAGTTCGCCCTGGGGAAGGGCACACATCTCGGCTGAGATGCGGGACGCGAGTGCAAACTTGCAATCCGTCTACAAGCGCCAAAAGTTCGTGTTTACCGATGGGCCCGAGGACCTATCGGACGATTCTCGTCATACTGGTGGACGAGACCTTCAACGTCAGCCATCAGCTAGAACGAGGTTCCCATCTGTCAAAGGAAGGTGGGTACCCACGCCACCGGACAAGGTAACTCGTCCTTGATTCTGAATCGCCACGGTGGTTCAAGATACGCTCCACAAGAAAGCGTTAAACACCGTGGGAATCCACCAGTGGTTCCAGTGGCGGTGGAAAGACAAGGTCCGGCTCAGCCGCCGGGCCTGCACGAGACTTTGGGTAACCACGAGCGTTACCTGACCGAGCTGAGGGAGGACGTCGATCACGAATACGATCGTCGGCACGCCTTGCATTCGGACGTGCGACGTCTTCGTGCCGATCGGGAGAAGGACCGATCGGAATTCGCGTTCGCTCAGCTTGAGAGTGAACGCGAGAGACGTCGTTTGCGCGAAGAGCTAGAGACGGCTCGTCGCGAGGCCGCGTCGATGAAGGATCAAAATCCTTTCGACGAAGGACAAACTTCAGTGTTTGGTCCGTGATCACAAGAATCTGTTGGGGATTCTTGAGCGCGCTAGTTATCTCCGTTCTCGCAAGAGGCCTCGTACTGATGGTACGGGTGGAGACGACCAACATAAAACGTAGGATGCGTGCGCATCCTACGAGGCAATTCGATCGTGTATGCATTGCCCTTGCGGTGCAACACACGAAAGGGACCAATGTATTTCGGCAGTAGTTTAGTACTGACGACATTAATGACTACATGTACAGGTAAGTTTATTGTAGACAGTAGTACTAGGTCGTTAACTTTAAATGAAAGAACATTTGCTCTTCCATTCTTGTCTGCGTTCCGTTTCTGGCGGTCCACCGCATTTGCGATGGAGTCCTGAACGAAACGGACTACCGCCTCTCAAGTCAGCAGGAAGTTCTCTGCTGACTCGTTGTTGTGTTTTTCAGTGCATTTCGTGCGCACTGCTAAGAGATCGTTCTCTTCTTCAACGAGGGTGTCCTCTTCCTCGCTGGCATTGTCGTTGACGATGCTGAATATACCAGCATCGTCATCATTGTCTGATGTAGCAGCAGCGTCATCGCTACTGGTAAGCTCGATTTCCTCGATGTCGACGTTGTCGACATCGGCATCAAACGTATCGGCGTGAGCGGTGATACGTGATGAGCAAGAGCCAAAACGATTTTTGCTCGAGCGAGTCCCCCCCTTGACTCATAGTCACTTTGTATGAGGGCGGGAATACGTGGGTGGCGTAAGCCATTCACGTAGAAAGGCGTATGCGTTGTGGACGCATGCACGGAGTTGTTGATGGCAAACTCAACCATCAGTAAGAGCTCACTTCAATGTGAAAAGGAGTGGCGTATCCACGAAGAATTTCTTCGAGGACATGGTTCGCACGTTCTGTCTGGCCATCTGTTTCAGGATGGTCGGAGGTTGACATCTTCAACCGTGTTCCCAATGTGCGGAACACGGATTGCCAAAACGCCGCCGTGAACCGAGGGTAACGGTCGGATACGAGCTCACGGAATAAACCGTGGAGTCGAAACACAGTGTCGATGAAGACACGCGCACAACCGTGTGCGTTGATCGATTCTGAAACTGCAGCAAGATGTACCATCTTGCTGAAACGATCCACAAATACAAGAATACCATTATTCTTGTTAGTGTCTTCGGGGAACCCGAAGACAAAGTCCATGGAGACGGACTCCCAACACTCTGCCGGGGCCGGCAGAGGTTGTAACGGTGCACGGAATGAAGGACTAGACTTCACCCGTTGACAGACCTCGCAAGAACGAATGTACTTGCGGACAAACTGATACTGACGGGGACAGTAAAAGTCTCGACTAACCGTGAGGTAAGTCTTTTCTCGGCCACGATGCCCGCCAGACGGCGCATCGTGACATTCGAACATGATTCGTACTTGCAATTCATCATGATCGGGAACGACGACACGAGGCGTGTCGTCGGCAACTGCTGTATAGTACAGCAGGCCATTGCGAGTAGTGTACCGATCCAAAGAGGAACGGTACAGGGCCGACAAATCCGACAAGGATTTCCGGGATGGGTTTGCAAGATGACCCATCAAACGGAGGAGATTCGTGTCTTCTGCGTATGCCTTCCGCACGTCGTCGAGTAACGGCGACGACGGCACACTGATGGACAGTGCCGCAACAGTGAGCAAGACCTCACTGTTGACTCGGGTCGTTGGCTCGAAGTCGGGCCGACGTGATAACGCATCAGCGACGACATTAAGTCGTCCTGGCTTGTACTCCACGGAGAAGTTATACTCCGCGAAGAAAGACATCCACCTCGCCATCCTTTGCGAGAGGTGTGGGCTGTTTACGGCCGTGAGTAGTGACGCATGGTCCGTATAGACGATGAATCATCTATCTCCCAAGAGATAGACCCGGAACTTAGCCAGTGCATACTTCATGGCAAGTAGTTCCTTGTCATGCACTGGATAATTGCGTTCAGCTGGTTGCAGCTGACGCTATTGATAGCAGACGACGCGCTCTGCGCCGTCTGTGTCATACTGCATCAACGCTCAGCCGATAGCAAAATCGCTGGCGTCACAGACCACATGAAATGGTCTGTCCTGATCTGCAATCGCCAAGATCGGCGACTGCATCAAGCTTTTCTTGATGCTTCAAAGGAACGCTGACACTCAGCGTTCCATGACCACTTGACATCTTTCTTGAGCAAGCAAGAAAGATGTACCGTCATCTCGGCGTAGTTGCGCGAGTACTTGTGCAAGTACGCCGCTAGCCGAAAGAACTTCCTTAGTCCCTTGACATCGACTGGCACTGGCCAGTCGGTGATTGCCTTGATCTTTTCGGGATCAGGGCGTACGCCGTTTTTACCCACGATGCACCCAAGAAGTGGTATTTCGCTTGCCGCGAATATACACTTCTTGAGGTTGGCGTACAACTTATGCTTGCGCATGAGTTGAAGAACCTGACGGACGTGAATTCTGTGAACTTCAACGTCCGTCTTTTCGTCCATATCCCGACTATGGACGAATACATCGTCGAAGTAACTCGGTGCGGTGTCTCGCACCGGTCGCAATAGATTTGTGACACATCTGTTGAATGTAGCAGGGGCATTGCTCAGCTCCTGTTGCATAACTAGCACTCCCACAGCATCCCGCTGAGGGTTCTCACTGCTGTGTACGGAACATCCCGTTCACGCATGAGGATCTGATAGAACCCATCCATCAGATCCATGGACGAGAAGATGGTACTCTTTGACATACCATCTATGATTACGTCCTTTCTTGGTATCAGCGTCTGAGCCGGTACCGTTGCAGCATTCAACTTGTTGAATGCGTGCACTATCCGCCACCTTCCTGTGGCCTTTTGCACACAGAAGGCCGGAGAGCTGCGAGGGGATGTTGATTCCCTCACATGGCCCGCTGCTAAGCGATCGGCAAAGAACTTGTCGATCGCTAGTACTTGTTCACGAGGCAGTGGCCACTGATTCATGACACAGTACTTCGAGCCCGGTCTGAGCTCGATCTCGTGTCGAGTGCCTTTGTCCTTAGGCAACTCGCAAGGTACTGATTCAGGGAATACGTCCTTGAATTCGATCAAATCCTTATACAAAGGATTTGCCTGAAGTGACTCCCAGGATTAAGACGTGTATCGCTCAAATCGAGTCTTCTCATCGAGGACACTTTCGTCCATCGATGAGCTGCTGAGAACCCGTTCGTTTTCAGCAAACACCGTTGCCGACCGAATATCAGCCACATACTCATCCTCTGTGACGAGTATGCAGATCTGCTTGACTTTGCCACTACGCATATCACGCAAGAACCGTTTCGTTTCTAGCGTTGGCAATTGAGTTATCTTCGAATTAACTTCGGAGGCACAATCAGATCAAGCGTATAAGCGCCTACGCTTGATCCATCATTGACCAAGACATTCAGTGTCTCGATTACCTCCTGGAAAATCACTTCCACAGGATCTGGGTGAGCTTTCTCCACAATGTAGTGATTATCTACATTGTGTTCGTGTACAGTCGTGCTAACGACCTTACCACAAGTGAGGCCATCGCACTCACTCGTAGTACCCTCACGTGAGTGTGGGCGTTCCAAGATATTCGTCAGGTGATTATATGAGGAATAAGTGGCAGGTATCGTAACCGATCGATACTGCCAACTCACCCTTGGCTCGTATTTCCTGAGCCAAGGCAACCCTAAGATGACGTCGAACTTGTCATCTAGGTCAAGCACGATGAAATCATCATCGTACTGTTCGCCTTTTAACGTGTAGTGGATTCCGACTAAACGTTTCTTCACAGTGATCGATGCTCCTGTCGCTAGGCGCACCGTCATCTTCGTTGGAGGGATCTCCCGCTCCACGAAGTTAAAACTTCCTGCCTCCAGCGACTGGCGACGAACAAAATTGTTCGACGCCCCACAGTCTACTAGGGCGCGAAGTGACAAGTCTCTTTTCACTTCTAACTTCAAGGTGATAAGTGACATCTCATCACCAGGTGCAGAGACACACAGAAATTGTGTATCGGGAGCAACCTTCTTCAGGAGATTTGCAAATTCTCTTGAGGTTGCTGGATCAGTAGGGTGCTCCGCCCCTACTGATCCCGACCGTTTTTTATGGTTTACCTCGCTGTTGCGACTTCGCAACAGCAACGGACCCTCGCCCTCCAGTTCTTCTTGCTGGTGGGTTAATACTGCGCTCTGCACCGCGAGGTTCTGAGCGGGGGATACTGCATTCATATGCGTAGTGTCCCAGTTTATGACAGCGATGGCATCTCACCATTGCTTGTCATTCACAGGACGAGGTTTCTCGCCCTCGACTTGACAGAGGTCCATTGGTAATGGACCTCTGACTGCCAGTCGTCTCTGTGGACGATGCGGGGTAAACGTAGCGTGAGCCTGTCTCACACTATATTCTTCTTGCTCCGCTGCGAAGATTGTTTCTGAGAGCGTCTTTAGATTTCCGCGGAACAGGTGGTCCCTAACGGGACCGTCTGAAAGCCCTTGAATAAAGATTGTGATCAACACAAACTCACTCACAGGGTTCACTACCATGCAGCTTGCAAGGTAGCGTACATGTTGGGCGTAAGCGTGAACCTTACGCTTACCATGCTCGATTTGCAGGAGCTCCGAAAGAGTCCTGAACTCTGCTATGGGTGGCTAAAACGTCTCACTGAGCAGGGTCTTGAAGATCCTCAACGACCCAAACACATGTGGGTCGTGCAACTTGAGGTTCAGGGTCCAAGCTCTGGCTTCTCCTGCCAGGTTAGACTGAGCGGACGAGACTTGCATTCGCTCATCGTCGATGCGACGAGCATGGATGACATCGTCCAGATCGACGAACCACCTCAACAAGGATTCTTCCTCGACTCCCCGATACTTGGAAACCTCTAGCATTTAGAGACTCCCGTCGACGCTTACGCGTCGATAGCTCTGTGGACTGAGACTGGTCTTGTCTCAGTGCTTCGGTCCGCTGGTGATCTTGTTGTTGTAACAAGGTCACCTGCGCTCGCGACTCATCAAGTTCTCGTTGCAAGAACTTGCTAATGACGACATGTTGCTCGTCTTCTATCCCTTGAGGATAGCATGGCCCAGATGGCTTCCTCGCCAACGGTCGAACTCATTCGTTCGATCGCACTCCATTCGATGTCGCTCAAATGGGAGTAGCTTTCACGGGTTCCGTGAAATCTGTCGCCGTCTACATCGTCCAACATGTTCATGTTGGGCGATGGAGTTGTGGTCCTTGGACGGACTACAAAGTGCTACCAGCTAAAACGGGTCACTGTTGACTACGTACTGGTTGAACAGTACGGAGTATACTTCCACTGACGACAGTGGTCGATAGTGCCCTGCTAGGTGTTTAAGGGAAACATAGAGGAAGTAAAGAAGACTAAGTAGTCAGACTAGTCTCTTGGTAAAAGTAAAACTGTATTAATATAATTAAGTCCTATTACTCCTTGAATCTCTGTTGTCCTGACCTAATTATACTAATATAACTATGTGTATGATGACGTATACTCACCACCCATTGCGCGCGTCTAGCAGCGATTGGTGGGTCGATATCATCACTATATCAACCAATGAGTAGACCCTTCGGTCATCCCAACAATATCACCATGTCTGTGATATTGTTAAAAGAATATTCGACGTAATATTCTTTATTCTCATATTGTTTTAATGACAATCTCATGTTAGACGGACCCCGTTACAATGTGGCCCGTTCATCGACTGGAAGGACTGCAGCGATCCAGTGTTCAATCTCTACCAGTCCAGCTCCTCGTCGTTGCCACAGTACCGCAACATTCTGACACACGATCTTCAAGTGCTCATCTACAGCGGCGACGCAGATTCGATCGTGAACTTCATCGGTACGGAGTGCTGGATCGGCGGTCAAGGGCTGAAGTTGCGCATCAAGTCAGCGTGGCACGCTTGGTTCGGACCGGACAAGCAGTTGGCGGGCTACGAGCAGCAGTACGAAGGGCTGACGTTCAAGACCGTCAAAGGCGCTGGCCACATGGTGCACGCCGTGCGTCCGCTGCACGGTCTCTACCTCTTCGAGTGCTTTGTTCTTGGCCAGAGCGCCTGCACTGAGTTCGCGTATCCCATCGATAGCAACGAGGTCGACGCTGAACTGACTGTGGTGCAGCAGCAGCACGTGGACAGACCAGTGCCTCTCACTGCTAGCACGAGAGTCAACGACGAGTCCAAAACGTCGTCGTCGTCGCTGGAATGGCTCGCACTGTCAGGTATCTGCGGATTAATCATAGTCCTGGCAGCTGTCGCTATCCGCAATGCCAAGACACACGGCACCTTCCAGCGTCTGTGTTCGAACGGCTACCAAGCCGTCGAGTAAGTCTCATCAGCTTTACTTGCAATCGGTCATTGAGCCTCATTGCCAAGTACTATACACGTAACTTGCATTGTGTCGAACTTGTACCAGGTAGTGACAGATGCATCTCGTCCTGCTATCACACTCGTGTATTCGGACGTCCAGAACGCTTTTGCTTGCGAAGCAAATAACGCTACCCGTTCCCATAAGTCACATTGCGCGAACCATAAGTGTCTGTTCTGACAGCAGATATCTGACTTCTGCTGCCGTACGCCGCTCACTATGTGGCATGCACCGAGCGTCACGTGGATTTTGATTATTTTTTGACAGTTAGTCAGCGTCATTGACATCGTTTGTGCTTACATACACTGCTTTATTGCTGTGCAATCGTCGCCATGAGCTGTAAGTTTACAACAAAGTTCGTGTCGGCGTGCCCATGTATAATTTTTTAGAGATGTTTTGTGACGGAGTGGGTTCATTTTCATGCCACTAACATGATTGTTTTGTGTATTGTGAACGCGTTACGCAAACCGTCGGGCCCCCACAGTGGATCAACTTCCGCATGCGTCGGGTTATCTCTCCTTTGCTACATTTCTCTCTACTCTCGCCAGGGTGATGAAGTGGCACGCGCTATAAGCATTGCGATGAAGGCCTTCCAGGCTACACGATCCTTTGCACATTGGCAAAGGAAGTACAAACCTGGGGCCAGTCTACGGCGGTGTCCAGCGGTAGGTTTATTGCGTCGATCCCTTGGATGTCTATCTTGTCAACAGGACCCAGGGAGGGTCCCTGTTGCTTGCACCGGAAACAAAGGAGGAAGCGAGCGTACCTAAGCGAAGATGACGGGACTTCGGGGCGTCCGGCGTGGCGGCGTACATCGTGGAGGCTCGGCTGGCGGCTGGGAGGAGAGCGGCTGGGAGGAAAGCGGCTAAAGAGATGTGTAGAGGGAGAGGAACCCGTCCAAAAATGAAGGATGCTGCGAAGCACCCGTCGGAGACCTAAGCAAGCATTGTGCGGTTGACAATGATTTGGGTTTAGTAAAGTTTAGCCAGAACGATTACGGGAGAGGCTCAATACATCCAGCGTTATTGCTAAATACACCGGCGCCTATCCATCTTACTGAATGTTTATATGACAAGCGTGGTGTCACATTCAGGCCGTGTCCATTCGAATATCACAGGATAAGCTACGTAGTAATGCACCTGTAACAAAGTTAGGCCACGATAATTCAAAAAAATGATATCGAGTAGTTAGAAATGCACCCGAGGCTGAATATTGAAAAATTTTCCTATGTTGAGGAGAGCGGACTTGTGCTATGGCACAGGAGGATGCGGACGCCGTGGCAATGGTACACGGGGCATCACTGTAGAAGTTACGAAGTAAAAATGTGTAATTGACTGCAGCTGTTTCCCGTGTTGAGATCCACGCAACGCTACATGTTCGTTACAGAGTGTGAGCTCTGACGGCATCGGAGATGTGCTTATGGTAATTGATGCATCGTCTGCTTGAACATTCTCAATCAAAGTTTAAGACGGATATCGGCGCCGGTCGTGACCAGGTCTATGTAAGTGACTGCATTATCTCCTATCACAATGCCGCTCAGTAATCTCGAACCCCGAAAGTTGACGCTTTCTAATTTCTGGTGTTTCCGCTTGCGAAGTGTCATTTTCAGGATGCGGAATGGAGGCAGAATACCAAAAACATCTGCACCGGAGCTGTTGTCGTCGTCGAGATTATCCAGATGCAATTGATTTGCAAGATTGCTACTTTGGATAGGCCTTTTTTCGTCGATGTGTCCGCAGAAGACGTGCGCGCAGTGGATGCCATAAAATCTCGCTTGGTATTTGTTACATTCGTTGAGGTTTTCGCAATTGAGAGATAGCAGGTACTGTTTCTTGAGCAGCACCATTACGTGACGGGAGATTTTTCGATGCAGCTTCAAAACTATCTCGCCAAGTAAATTTGAGAGTATATCGATTTTCTTCTTTGCCATCGTATCACTTATATCTTTTGGTAATAATCGATACCTCGGTAAAATCGTCTGTACGTTGAGAATTGTATAATTTGCGCTGTTGAGCCAACTCTTGATATTCTTGAAGTGCGTTCTTTTAGCTCTCGAGGTAACCGTGTGTCCAAAAATGCTGTTATTAGTCGATGCTAAATGATGCCCAGTGACGGCCAAAAAATACGTTCTTGTTGAGGTATGCGATAGTGTTACAGTCTTGTTTATCATAAGTGGAAGTTTCAACATAGATGTTGATCCAATTCAGAAGCGAAAGTGAATAATTACACACCGTAATCGTAGGTAGCTGCTGCCAAAGCTCCATTTAAGTTTTTTTGTAGGCGCATGGACAATATCCTTCTAGTGTGCAATATAAGGCTGTCCAGCTCTCTTCGCCGGCATCCGTAAAAAAAATGTCTGGATTTGGTGAAGCTGTTGTTCGCGATGTGAAACCTTCATATGATGATCAATGCGTGATGCCACATCTACGCAATTGCATTGATGAGTCCAAGGATGCCTACATCCTCCCGCTCCTTCATGTTGTTAAATTTGCAAGTACTAATCAAACTTTTACTGCTGCAGTTAAAATCATGGACGATGTAGCATTCAAGAATTATGAGTGGATGAAACTGAGATCGACAGGATTATCCAGGGACATCCAAAGGTTCTTGTCGTTGATTGCGACGATATGTTAAGTTCTTGGTCATCTCGGGCTGCCAAAACTGGTGTCGAATGTGGTTGTATTCGTCCCCTGCAACCACGAAAAAAATATCCAGGTCCTTCAGGTGCTGCAGCAGAGCTTCCGTGTGCGATTCTCCATCAAGTGCCTTTCTGTTTGCCTTTTGAGCGATATTGTGGACATCCTTTGCATTTAAAGGGACACCCGACTCCTAAACCTGATTAATGACAACCTTAAATAATCACAATCCGACAAAATTACAGATAATGACCTGCTGTATATGACTTCAACACGTACATACCCAAGGAGAAGATCCATCTTGATGCATCTGGACGACCTTAGACTCTATAACCTCAGTTTCTCTCGTCGCACTTCGCGCCGCCGGTAGCGCTGAGTGAATGGTCTAGCTGATACAACGGGAGTGACCTGTGTGGCAGTCGTTTACACAAAGCTTCGACAAGGAATCCTTCTGGGACGTACTTGTTATACATGATCGCGAGCTCGTATAAACAGCCGACCTTTTTTGTTCTGCGATCTCGCATTGACGTGTGCCGACTGTGGGATCTCCTTGATGTTTTCCTTGCGAACATGTGAGAAAACTGCGTTTGCGACCAATCGAACGGCTGCGGGATACACTAACAGCAAAACCTTGGCGTATGGCGTACTGCTTTAAAGCCTCTACAGCCGTCTTTTGACTGTCATAAGGGCCGATCGGTGGAGATTCTTTACAGATTCATGAGTGATTAGCGGCGGCAGGATAATAGCCAGCATCAACTTGGAACGTAACCTGATTGTCAGCGACGACAGAATTATTATCAACATCAACGACCGTGGCACTGGCAGCAGAAGGAGTAGTGGATGTAGATGGAGTGGTCATCATTATACATTGGTCATCGGAGGATTTCTTTTTGAATTATCGTGGCCTAACCATGTTACAGGTGCATTTCTACTTAGCTTATCCTGTAATATTCGAATGGACACGGCCTGAATGTGACACCACGGTTGTCATATAAACATTCAGTACGATGGATAGGCGCCGGTGTATTTAGCAATAACGCTGGATGTATTGAGCCTCTCCCGTAATCGTTCTGGCTAAACTTTACTAAACCCAAATCATTGTCAACCGCATAATGCTTGCTTAGGCCTCCGACGGGTGCTTCGCGGCATCCTTCATTTTTGGACGGGCTCCTCTACCTCTACACATCTCTTTGGCCGCTTTCCCCCCAGCCGCTCTCCTCCCAGCCGCCAGCCGAGCCTCCACGATGTACGCCGCCACGCCGGACGCCCCGAAGTCCCGTCATCATCCGCTTAAGTACGCTCGCTTCCTCCTTTGTTTCCGGTGCAAGCAACAGGGACCCTCCCTGGGTCCTGTTGACAAGATAGACATCCAAGGGATCGACGCAAGAAACCTACCGCTGGACACCGCCGTAGACTGGCCCCAGGTTTGTACTTCCTTTGCCAATGTGCACAGGATCGTGTAGCCTGGAAGGCCTTCATCGCAATGCTTATAGCGCGTGCCACTTCATCACCCTGGCGAGAGTAGAGAGAAATGTAGCAAAGGAGAGATAACCCGACGCGTGCGGATGTTGATCCACTGTGGGGGCCCGACGGTTTGCGTAACGCGTTCACAATTACAATCAAAGTCTGTATAGTTATATTTAAAGTTAATATTATGATAACATTATCATTCGAACGTATCTCGAGCGATAAAATTGCGCCAAAAGATGCAAAACGTAAAGCGTCAAGATAAAAGCATTATTAATACCCCTAAGAATGCATTTTTTTACAAATGAGAACAATGGTGTATGCGATTTGTACTAACATTAGATATTGATGACAGGGTCGGGATCGAATAAATAAATTTATAAGCGCAACATCTTTTATTATGTACAGGTTTGATATACAATCTATTAAAGAAATAATATATATATATATTTTTTGATTCATTGCGTTTTGAAGAATTGTATTTGAAAGGTTTGTTCCATAAACAGTTTCGCCAATCAAAATAATTTTTACATTTTATTATATCCAGTTTGTTAACATTATCCTCATTAGGTGCTTAAGATCGAAATTTATCCAGGTACATTCAGGTTCGGGCACGAACCCATTATATCGTGCTTCGTTGGCCAATCTCCGGCGATGTGCAATCCTACCTCCCCCTGCGCGGGTATCGATTCACGTACCTTTCGGTCTCTGTGCCAGTGCTTTTCCAATCGGCATCCGGGTTCGGTAGCCATTAGGTGCTTAAGTAATAACCCCGATTACACCGTTAAGGATGGACAGGTGGATTTTGATCTGTAAAGTGCTATATAACAATTGTATAAGAAAGAAATGTGATATATT